ACACATTGAATTTCAGTTCAATACATCAGAGATGGACAAGTGATCTACAACTTTAATTCAGAGAAGACTGCAATATCAAAATGCCTGTCACTAAAAATCCAAAATGTGTACATGACCCGAGAGCAATCCTGTACCAGTTGAAGACAACAGCAAAAGTCTCATTGACTGCAAATGAGAACAGGATATGACCTTAACTCAGTAAAAAGAAAACTATTTCAGCAACATTTCTCCTACACATTCCAGCAACAGCATCCACATTTTCAATTTCTAATTTAATAAATATGGATATTCAGAAGTGGACCGTCAACTCCACTGCTCAGAAGTACATTCACTCTAAATTGGCTCTGGTGGAAAAAAATGTCATTGGATTGTGACTACTGACAAAATTACTGACAGATGAACAAGTCCATGTAAATTTCCAGATCTGAATCTAGCTACATTCACTTGAATCTATTACATGTTTTGGTTAGGCTGTTCCTAATAACTTTCCCAAATGTACTATGAAATTGACATAAATTTTAACTTCCACTGCAGTCCACAGGATTTTGATGAGCAATAAGGCTGACTAGAGGCTTATTCATTAATACTATGTGCATCTTCTTGCAGATTTCCAGCCTGTCATGGTGACGGTGGCAGCATTTCTGCAGAAATACTCCATGAGTGAATGTCTGGTAGTTACAAGATGGTCTGTGAAAGGCTTATTACTCATCACCCACACATGAGTGTGGGACATTGCTCAACCCTTGCCTATGTGTACACAAAAATCCAGTACGGAAAAATTAATGGAGACATAATGTATTAACATCATCTCTTCCCAAATTGCCTTTGCTGCCTAGTGGACAGTTCAACAGTGAGAACACTAATTACTTTGAGAAGTGTGACATTCACTATACCTATGACAGGAGAAAAAAGGCAATAATCACCTCCAGTTTGGGTGAGGTAACCAATTAAAATTGCCTTATCTGTCTTCTTCCGTACACTCACTGTGTCACTGAGTACCCTACCAGTGGAATCAACAGTACTGCATCAAATATTTTAAAAGCTAAGAATATTGTATACAATATGATGAGGTGCAACTTTGAAAATGTTAAAGATGTTGCTTGGGAACAAAAAGAAAATTATTTTGGCAGGATCTGAAATTAGTAAGGATCATATGCCTTCAAGGGTCATTTTGAGCACAGGAAAAAGAAACTGGTTTAATTTTGGGCTTACTTTGAGACAGCAGATTACAGAATAAATGGGAAGTTTCAAATATTGTGTTCATTTCTTATCACACAATAATAATTAAGTTAAGTCTTAATTTGTATGGCAAGCTCAAAAGGTTGCTGTTGGGGAAGAAAAAAACAAAAAAACAAAAAACACACAGACCCAACTAGCAGTGCCCCAAACAGACTGTGTCTCAGGATTTTAGGGGGAATCTATACCAAACCAGGTTGTGACTAATTCAGTTGACAATGAAAAGTATTCACATAAAAAAACCCAAAACTATAGTCACAACTGGCATAAAACCAGATCTCTACTGGCAGGCTTAGGAAGTATAGAAATGCAGCTACCCATCCTGGAGGCAATTGCAGGGGGAGAGGGGTGCAGTTGCACCCCACTATGATTCCTGTTCCACCTAAACTTTAAAACCAATTGCCTGTGGGGAGGGCAAAAAGACCAGGGGAAAGGTATTCACAGCCAGTGCCCAAGGAGTCAGTTGACTTCCTGGCTCTTTTCATTATAACATACCTGATTCCTGCTAACCTCAGGGGCTAATGACCCTTTCTCCTTTTTAACTGTCTTGATGTTCTATTTATCAAGCTACCTTTCTTCTACCGTTTTTGTTTATGTTAGCCATTCCTGGTAATCTCTCTCTCCCCCATTTCACAGCCCTGCAGATTGTTTTTAGTCCTAGCCAAAAACCTTAACTCAGGTTTGGTAACATTAATTTAGATGAACATTAACTCAGGTGTGGAAATGATTGACAGTGAAAATGTTAGATGCATTGTCAAGATGCCCAAGGGGGCTAGATTTCATTTTACAAACCTGAACAACAGATGCACGTGTAACTATAATTACTACTGGACTAATAAAACAATGTCTTATTACTGTTTTTACCTAACTGATATTTAAACTTTATATATAATCTAGCAAATTAGTGCACATTCCAATAGTTATATTATATTCATGTTTGTTTTGATCTTAAATATTTAATAATATAGCCATAGACCCTAGCATATTAGTAAATATTCTAGTTTGTTGGTTATTTTACCTAGAGAAAAAAAGTGTGTGCTGTGATATATGTGGTAATGTACCACACCATCTGCACCCCCTTTTTCAGATCCTTCCATGACCCTTACAATGGGTTCCCAACATCAGCATGTAAACAGACAGATGGGAGAATATGGGTCAGTACACATGGAATTTAACATTTACTATTCATTTTTTAAAATATCTGGTCGGTATGAAACTGTTGCTTCTAAGGGCTAGAACCTGGAACCATTCTTTAAGATAACATTTACACACTGAAACAAAAAACACTCATGTATTACAAGAAATACAAAGTTAGCCGGAGCAACATCAACCTTAAAAATACACTGCAAATAGACAACATGAGCAGAAATAAGCACCTTTGAAAATAACTCAGAACAAGCTAAAAAGAAGAATTTACTAAGACAAGTTATTTTACAATATGACCTGTTTAAACATTTAACGATCACTCTCTGGGCAATTAACAAAAATACTCTAACAAACGTACCATAGGTTTTCTTATAGGCTTCCAGTTGGGAGATACTTATTCAGCAGCAGACTTGATCCTCTTAGTGAATGAAGAGCTGTGATCATCATACAACGGGAAGGTTCATAATAGGGATGGCAAGCCAGTCAATTGACCAGTCAAATATTCCACAAAGCTAAGAATACCCTCTCTCAGGAACAGGCACACCTTGCCCTTCCTGAGCTTTCACAACCTCCTTTCCATTCCCACCATTAAGCCCTGTGAGGCTACAGGAGCTGTGCTGAGAGAAGAACAAAAACCAGCAGCATAGAAAAGCTTCTCCTACTGGTCACCTGCTGTAAGTGCAGGCATCTCTAAAAGCAAACAGAAAGCGGTTGAAAGGGTTGGCCTGCTGCCTACTTGGCATACCTCCATTTTAGTAGCTATACAAAGGTAAAAGTCACAGTTTTAGGTGTGTTTCATTTCTTTCTTCTTTTTTTCCTTTACATTTTGTAAACTTTCAGGCAGACCCTGACCTGGGTTTTGGGACAAAAGCCAAGGAAAAAAACTGTTCAGTCTTGAATATCATTGACATTTACTCTTACTTAACACTGATTGTAATAAAAAATAATTACACCGTTTTAGAATTGAATTTGATGTTTCATTATAACAGTTAAATAGACTTTTTTTTGTAATTAACATATAATTAGACTAAAAATTAAAGACTCTCTTCACTGTTCTAATTAATAAACCTTTACAATAGTTGACTGTTATCTGACAATATTTGACCAGTCAAGTGACCAAGTGTTTTTTGACCAGTAAAAGAACTCTTTTTAGATTTAGGGTTCAGAGCATTTGCTTAGAGATCTACAGCATAACTTATAAGTAGTAAAATTACTAGGGCTGGGATGACAGGCTCCAACTTAGAGGGAGCATAAGATTGGCAGCTTTTACTGTGAGCCTAACCCCCACTTCTGACACTACTACATAGGGTATAACATCTGCTTGCTATGTCTCTGCTCATAGGAGGGACATAAATTGACAAATGATGAATGCTTTTTGTTAATTCCAAATGATTAATACCTAACCCCATTAAAGATAAAATGAAATCCCATGTGGAAAAAATACCTTGATATAGCCATTTCCACCCATAATGTTGCCAAAATGGTACTCTGTTGATGAATACATTTTAGAAGATGATAAATGGTGTCATCCAGAAAACAGTGGAGAGAGTCAGCTCCATTTTCTGATAGTAACACATGGATAATATTTTTCATGCACCATTGCTTATGTTTGTGGTCTACATACTATTTTTTCTATCTAAAGTTTCTGTACTGCTGCCTATCACAGAATTGAGTACCAGCTACATAAAATATTCTGGGCTAGGCAAAGCCATTGTACAAGCTATGAACAAGTTATGAACTCCTTGGTTCTTCTCTGTCCTCAGTACAGACCTGATTTCATGTGAGGACAAGTGGTTCTACATGATGCTTCATTTTACAAACCACTACCAAAGAAAAGAGCTACAATGTTCACAAGTTACTGTTAAGCTATTAGAGAAAGAAGACAGCCTTAACAAAAGACACTCTTGTAGTATCTGACTACCTTTGAAGCTGACTACCATGTTAACTTTCAGGACAGTCTGTGTATGAATAAATACAAATGCTTGATTTCACTAGCGAAAATAAATGGCACTTCTAGAGTCTGAATTAAATTTCTGTATTGCAGGCACAGAGTCTACAGATATGAGGGCAATTGCACAGGAAAAAACTAGCCAGAAAGACCTAGCTGATAGACACTAATACTGTTCAGGATGTCTTGTATGTCTTGTGGTAGATGGATGGGCAACCATCATTGCTATGAACCTTCCTGTTGATAAAAATGACAGCTCAGTATCGTGAGCACTGTAAGATTCATTGCTTACAGTAGACGTCTCTGACAGATACTGAGATCAATCTGTCAGCCCGTGCACGAGGCTGAAATGCACCAGGATGACATGAACACATTTTTGAGTTTTAGGAAGGGTATGTCACTACTCCACATAAATTCAAAGCCTTACCAAAGATTAGTACCAAGCTTACAAGAATCTCATCTGCTTACCTATTTGCTCACGTACCAAACAATATTGAAGCTGAGGTTCTAGCTGATTAAGTTCAGTCATAGTTAAATTCCAGTGATGTGACCTCTTTGATGAGTCCAATGCAAATAATATTACCATAGCATGGGATGAAGTAAGCTTTTACTCATGAAAGATTATGCACCTTTGATTCAATTAGTTTAAGTTACATCTCTACCTGCCTTCTAAATAAGACTAAATTATCTCAATAAAACATAATTTTTTTGCTCCTGTGTCTGTGTTCACAGTTCTACCTCTGAATATCAGGTATAAGCAAGAAATGAAGTAATCTTCAAAAAGTTGCTAAGATATCATTCCTCATCTTCCCTACTCTAGCAAGGCTCAATATTATACCTGTCCCATATATAGCAAGCACACAGTCTATTAAATAGTGCTGGGACACCACATCAACACAGTGATGTGAAGGAGATACTTTGCTGTAGTACCTTCCAAAAGTTCAGCAGCTAACTACACTGCACTTTTCAAAGCCCAAATAAGTAACTGATATTTGTTCCTTAAACAAACTGATTTAGTGTGAAATTGCATACCTGATTTATTGTGAAACACCAGTACTGAATATATGGCATAATTTAATAACATTACACCACAATAAGGGGAATTCCATATTCTGCATGGATGGAGCTGATTAAGGTGGTGTTTCTTAGAACTATTTTTTTCTTCAAAACCAATGGCATCATAACTTAAAACATACGTTTTGTTCATTTCCTTGAAAATTTGTAGGCTGTATTCTCCACAGACAAATAAATTACTTGTAATGTAGGTAATTTGACATTTTTTTCCTCTTAATTCTGTTATCTTACCATGGCAGGAACCATCAACTTCCTCATATCCTACACTGCAGATACATCGTCCAAGAGGCACAAGCCAATCCCCATCTGCTCCACAGTAGAGTTTTGGAGTATCCCGTTCTTCAGCGCTCTTCACACAGGAACCCCGTACTTCCACCAAAGAGGAAGAATCAACCCTTGGAATAGTATCAGGAAACATAGCCAAGTTACGAACTGTGAAAGGACACTTTTTGTAATAAACTCGGACTGAGACCAGAGCAATGCATGCTCCAATGTCCTGAAAAGCAAGGTAAAATCCTTTCTTGTTTATTGGCCCAACCTCACGAACTTCTGTGTTGAGTTTCAGGATACGGTCACCCAAGTCCATCTGGGTAAAACTCTCATCAGCTGCAATAGTATCAATTTTTGAGTACTGGCTTGGCTTGAATTTCACTCCATGGGACTCATCTGACTCCATGTAGTAGAGGTTAAAAGTTTCCTTGCAAGTTCCCAATACCCATGGAATGCTGTTGCAGTCCCTCAAAGTAAACTTCATTTCGACATAAATTTTTTGTGCTGCATCACGGGAGATCCAGTTTGTACGAAGCCAGTTGTTTTGGTTTGGTTCCATTACATTACATACCTGGTAAGTGTGAATTGGACGGTTGTGCTCATCCATTTCAGTAATTGCATCCCACTGAAAAGAAAATAATTTTTTTTGAAAAAAAACAGGAATCACACATTAACATATTTACAATCTTAATAGAGAGTTGGGAGATTTCTTTTACTTGAAAGAGCAGAAATGTTACTAAATTATATAGTAAGATTACTATGGAAGAATCAAATAGTTTGTAAGTACCATGTTGATAAAGAATAGGAATCTGAAAACTGTATCAGTGAAACTATGTCTAATGGACAGTGGATGAAACTGTAAGTCTCAAAAACACACTCTATATATTCATATAAACTTACTTTTCTCTGCATAAACCCACCCCCCACAGACGTTCAGTAATTTTTTTTGATATTCTTTGAATATCCTCATCACAAGGCTACTAAAACTATATTCAGTGTTCATATGTGGTACTGATGAAAGATTAGCACTTTCCATATATTTAATTTGTAAGAGGTCTATATATATTGTAGAATACATGATCAGTGATAAAGACTGCTCTTGGATAATATGACCATTAGCATTTTCATGTAGGGCCTTTTCCAAAACTTATGTTTACACAGTTTAATAAGAACTCATGTCATTTAACTTCTGGTTCAAATAACATCTCAGAGAGAGCACAATATTAGAGGTGGGACCAGGTTACAGATATGATTATTATTTTCAACCTTCTCATGACATTTGGAAGTTGGGGAGGAGTCTTCTTTTCCAGTTGAGATTCTCTGTGCAAAGAATGCCACTATATTAATCTATTGAACTTTCTGATTAAAATTTAGATTATGCAACAACGCTAACAACAAAAGATTTAAAACCCATCCATGAAAGGTTTCTAAACTGCTTAAATTATTACAGAATCTACTGATTTAAGGAAATACTGATTTCCCAAAACAGATTCATAAAGTGAATTATTTTACATCAAACCACTCATATTAAAAGAGGGACTTAGCATGTGGATATTTCTGTGCATCTACCATAACTACAGCTACAGCACAAAGTTGTATGGCCTTTTAGATGTGCAATTTTACAGATATGCTGATATACTAGTGATGGGAACATCTGTTTATAATCAAAATGCCAGAGTTCTTGTCTTTAATGTTCTACAGCACTACAATTTCTATTGTTTATCATTTTTGCAATGGATACAGTTTTGAACATGAAATTAATAAAATTTATTTGCATGCAAATGTGTTAATATGACCCTCCAAAAATTGAAAATGAAAAGTTTAAAACAATTAGGAGTGGAAGACTTCATACTGTATTTTGTCTCTCATCAGCATTTTTTAACTTTGTAATAACTTTGCTTAAATTATATAGATGACATTTTATGTTGTCATATTAGTTACATGATAAATGCTAAAGTCAAAATGTGCATTAAAATTAGAATCAATATGTAATTACAGATGCAATGACGGGATAAGAACCTTACAGTCATTAAAGCAGCATCATTCAAATATGAATTCATTCTGCTAGCACACACCAAAAACAGATTGCTTATTTCAACACATGAAAGTTCAACTTCTTCCAATCTAGGTACCTATAGTTAAGCTCATAAATAAAATGCTTTGTTTTCATGCAGGTGCTGAACATACAAAATTCCTAATTATTTCAGTACTCTTAGAAAAGTATACAGGTTTCCTTCACTTTATGCGGGTTCTGTATGTGTGAATTCACTCTTTTGCGATGACCTTTTTTATACCAAAAATTTGTTATATGTGAGGTAAATTCACTCTTACACAATTGGCGTGGTGGAAGTCCACAGTCAGCTGCTTTCTGTGGTACATTGTGGAAATGATGCGTAGCAAAATATAGTCACCTGTGTGGATCTGTGCTTCTCACTCATTGCCTACAATATGTGTTTCCGTAGTTGCCATCCCCATTATGGTAACATTCATCAGCACCCTGTGCTTGTGTGTACACTGTCTGCTGTTGGTGAGTATCAAAATTGTCCTGTAAAAGTGGTCTGGGGAATGGGTCTGGGGGTCAGTACAGTCAAGGTCTTGGAACATATCCCTATATGTTACATTATAAAGTGGGTTTCCTTTATGCAAATTCAAGTTATGCAGTTTTCCAGGAATACATCTACAGTATAAAGCAAGGGAAACCTGTACTTTGCTTAGCAGCTTCTATGTTGCAAAAATCCAGACTGAGTCCAGTTTATAGCCCATTCACCATTTATGAGGAAAAGGGCTTTTCTAATATGCCACTAAGCTATCATTCCCTAATGGTGAGGAAAAAAAGAATGCATCTAATGCACTCTTTTGCTATGGGGTAAGGTAATAGAATCACTTAAGAGTCAAGCCTATTTTGCAGTTGGTGGAGCAGAGGATACACCCACTTGGTGGAATCTGAAAGAAGCTGAGCACTTAGTTTTAGGCACGTGCATGTGCATGTGTAGCGTGAACTGAACTAATGTAGCTGATGTTAAAATAGAGTGCAATAATAGTGAAGTATAACCATGTTAGTCTTGTCCTGTAAGCAACCTGAAAACTCCATTTTGTATCCTTTTGCTTGACATAGGTGAACGAACTCTGCATAGCCTTTATGTATGAGTGTGTGTAAAAGAGTGAATGGTAAGAGAATGGCATAGAGATGGGGAAAAGAAGATTTAACTATTTATGTAAGCAACAAGGCACCAAATGTAAGTTACCAGTCAGTAAACTAATTAATGGATGGCTGAAGAATCCCTTTTAGGCCTAGGGCACAAAGAAGATAACGAGGAGAAGCAATGCCCCCACCCTGCCAGACAAGCAGCAAAAACACTCCAAGGCTAAAATAAGCTGAAGACAAAAGAAGAACAACCGCAAAAACAGAAGCTGGGGTGGAAAAACCCCAAAGCACTGAAACAAAGGATGTCAATCTGTATAAAAGAACATTTGAAAATGCCAAGTTGGGTGAGTCTCTTTCTCTACTGCTGTTTCATCGGAGCACAGATGCATCTGTTCACCCTGCTCCAGCTGTTATTTTTAAATCTGCTATCTTCAGATCATCATCTACTCAATAAGCCTGGGCTGGCCACCCTGGGCTGATATTGAATAACTATTGCTGGTAACTACTGGTGTATGTATGGATGAAATGGTTGTTTTGTGTATGTGTATGCCTGCGTGTAATGATGTGTATGATGATTTGTGTTAGTTTGTATGAATGGTGTGCCCAAACCTCTATGTCTAACTTATGTGATCAATAGACATGGCACCTTGCCTCATCCTCCTTTATAAAGTCTCACTCATGATTTTAGCAATTGGCAATTTGAGTAACATGCGTGCGCGCGCGCACACACACAAACTCTAGTAAGTGGAAGTGATAACTTTAAAGAGAGAAACCTAGGGAAGGAGAAGGAAAGAAAACCAAGAGAAAGATTCTCACGGTGTGTGTTTATATGTGTGTAAGAGCACACTAGTGTGAGAGATGCTAAAAATTTGCTCTCCCCAACCCTTTTTGAAAACAGAGTTTAAAAAAAACCCCAATGCCTAAGAAGGATTTTTGAACAGGGGATCAGTGAAATACTCTTGCTGCAGGGAAAGAAAAAAAACCTCATATTAAAATATCCTCCTCCTATTGTAATATTTTCTTCAGAACTATTTAAATTTGAGCTTAGAAAATTGGAGCCCAGAATTCTGCTGCTAGTCATGTAGCTAATACCATAAATCTTTTTTTCCCCCTACAGGAAAGCAAGGGCTCTGTATTTAAATGATAACTGGTTTCAAAGAACAAAAGAAGAAGAATTTATTATATACAGATGATTTTCCTTTTCACTCAGGGCAGCCATAGAACTGAAGATCCAAAAGGTATTGAACAACAATAACAACAACAACAACCCATTATGTGGGAGACAAACATATCTTTTAAAATGATCCACTAATTTGGTTCCAGATGCTGAATTTTGAAATATGCTGTATTTGAATATCTACATGTTCAATATCTCTCTACTTGTGCATGCCTTACAATGAAAAGTGGCCTCTCCAGAACATCTATAAAATGCACAGCAAAATGTGAATTTGAAGTAATCTCTGGAACAATATATTGATTCTGAGTTAAATCATTATTTCCTGGGGTTTTTTTTCTTCTTTACAAAATTAATGTAATGAGGCTAGGGCCAAGTTTTTCCAGCCCTGGGGCTGGAAAAACCCTGAATCTGTACACATGTTCGTTTAGATGAGGCACAGTTAACCCAATATATGTAATGTACCTCCTTACATTACATATATTGGGCTTAAAATTATACTTCATATATGCTATATTATTTTTCAAACACCTAGAACTTTCTGCTAGAAGAATTATTTATGAATATCACAATAAAGAAAGGGAAAATATTGAGCCAGTCCCTGGACAGACTCAGAAGGCATGACTCCTCAAATTTTAGAGGTATACTTGTTCAGCTACGTATGAATATGGACCTTTACTTATTTTGAAACCTAGATCAATGTATTGTTGCTCCTCTGCGGACCTAGTCTTTTGCAAGGCTTTTTAGAAGGCCAGCTTATATTGCTGAAGAGTCTGGTAGAACTGTCTATTTATACAGCTCACACATTATCTAAACTATTTACCCATTATTCTTAAAGCATGACTACTCCAGACCCACAGACAACTCTAGAACTGCTAGCTTAGTCACTGTGAACCAGCAAGAACATTTGTCTGTCATAATGTCCTCCCTACCATCATAAGGCCTTCCTCTCTTGGGTGACTTATTACCAGGGATCCTGGTTTTGCCTGATTAAAAAAAAAAAAAAAAAATCACAAATTCTCTGCTAAAAATCCCCAAACCTATAGTTAAAATTCAAGGCCCCACAACCCCACCCCCCAGGCTTGCTGGTGTCCCTTGCCCCCCACCCACATGCCCTGTTCCTCCAGCCCTGCCACAGGGGGGCCCCAGCTGACAAGGGTATGGACCTGGGTCCGTATCCCTCTGCCCCTGCTCCCTCCCTGCTGCGGGCTTGGGTGGGGTGGCTCCCCGCTGCTGCATGCACTCCCAGGGGGCAGGAGAGACCTGAACCCCCAGATCTGTACCTGGGGAAGGGTCAGGGTCAGGC